AAATGTGCAAATGTGCTTGACACAATGGATATATGTATGGATTGTGATAAGAATTGTATGAGCCCCCAATAAAATGATTTAGAAAAGAAAAAGAAAAGAAATTCAAGTCGAGATGGGGGGAAGAAAATAAAGAAAGAAAGATGGAGAAGGGGACATGTATATCTTGGAATAGGAGATTATATTTTTGTTGGTGAGTAAATGGGGCGGAGCTACCTCCCATAGGGGAGAAAACACTTAACATTATTTATATAGAACCCAAAAGGAAAATACACGCAGTACTGTGTTCACTTTTGAGCTAAATCCTATCCAACCCTTGGTGACCCAGGCCGTGTGCTAGAAACTACTGGAACTTTAGACTCCATCTTTTTGGGGTGCACAACTTCTTTCATAGTCCACACCAGGAGGATTTGATGTGGAAATGCTACTGAGTGAACTTCAGGGCTTGATCTCAAACTCCCCTGAAATGCCCTAGTGTGTGCAGATGAGTGCTATCCCAAGGTTATGGAATTGGCAGACATTGAACTTTGGTTCATATCCCTTGCTTGGAGGATGCCCAAATGAATAGCCTGAGTCTATCAGATATTTATTATGTTAATACCCTGGTAGTATAGCGCATATGAATTGGACTGTGATCCACAAGGTCAGCAGTTCAAAACCATCACCAGGAGAAAGATGAGTTTTCTACTCCTGTAAAGAGTTACAGTCTCAGAAACTCACAAGCACAGTTTTACCTGGTCCTATAGAGTTGCTATAAGTTGGCAGAAGAAGTCGCTATAAGAAATCAGAAATTCAATCTCCGTGAGTTTGGTTTGTTTTTTGTTTGTTTTGTTTTGTATTGCTTTACTTTGCTTTGATTTCTTATACCCTGTACTAGGCTTGTAGGTATGATCCTGCCTTTATAAATGTGTGTTATTGGAAGTTTTGTTCTATCACCAACCCCATTGTTTGTGGAAATAGTGTCCAGTTACTTACAAGTTTAATCTGTATATGTCAACAATTCATGGATTGCCATCTGAAGCAAAGCTTATATTTGTGTAATTTCCTTTTCTCAACAGTGTTTTGAATTCTACACCATTGTCTAAATTAATGATACTATCAATAGAATTATATTATGTCCCAGTAGAATGATTTATAATGTCTCTACCATAAAATGATAGCAATGCCTCTAAGATGAACCAGAGACATATATCAACCATAGATGCATGAAGGGATTTTGGACTCACACTTAATTCTAGCCCAATAAAGAACTAGTTCTTATGAGATGACACTGCTCAACGCTCACCATTGTAAAGAGGTCACTGAAGATATGGATGCTACAGCAAAGTGTTGCGAAGAAACCAGATGGTTCCGGCTATCAGAAAGAATAGTGTCCGGAGTCTTAAAGGCTTGTAATCAAACGAGCAGCCATCTAAGTGAGGTGTCAACTAAGTCCACATGGAAGAAACAAACCAGCCTGTGTGATCCACAGATTGTAAATAATAAAACCCAAATCCATAGGGAAGAATAGTATCAGAGCTTAAATTGTGAACACCCAGTTTGTAGAAGGCTGTGGATGACAGGGGAAGCCCAAAATCCATTTTCAGGGTCCCCACATGGATTGAGTCCCTGTTGAATCCCCTCTGACCACATCCAAGGATGTGAATAGCCTTGTTACCAGAGAGAGATCATTGTAAAATTGATTTTGGCAGATTAGGTAGATTAAAATGTAATACTTTATCATTTGATTTCCCTATTGGCCCATTTTAAACTTGTTTCAGTTTTTTTTCAAAACCATTTTATTGAGCTCTAGTAGATATCAAATAATTCCATAGTTCAGTTATGTCAAGCAGCATTGTACAATTATCATGTTTCAGTTTTTAAGATTATCTTTCTCTTTGAGATTTTTCTGTTTCTTCTAGTCATTGATATTGAGTTTTTTTTGTTTGCTGGCTTGCTTTGTATAATTTTGTATAATTGTGTTTTGTTTTGTATGATTTTCTGTATCTGAAATCCAGAATAAGTAGATCTATAGCAGTGGTTCTCAACCTTCCTAATGCCTCGACCCTTTAATACAGTTCCTCAAGTTGTGGTGACCCCAACCATAAAATAATTTTTGTTGCTAACTTCATAACTCCAATTTTGCTACTGTTATGAATCGTAATGTAAATATCTGAT